CCCATATGGCTGACAGCCTGGGCCGGGAGGTACACATGCGCACCCAGGAACAGGTGTGCATGAAAGTCAAGGAGCTGAGGCAGGCCTACATGAAGGGCAGTGAGCAGAGCTCCCTCTCAGAGCCTATTATGCCCCTATTATGAACAGCTCCACAACATTCTGGGAGGGGGTCAGTACTTTCCCCCACCTTGTTGTGGACTCTGGGCTGGAGATGCCCATCGTCAGCCTCCCAAGGGCAGGGCTGTGGACAAGGAGGAGGTGGAGGAGGCCAACACCAAGCCTGCCAGCCAGGAGGTCCGCCTCTCCCTGGAGCCAGTGCTCCCCTCCCAGGAATGTCATGTAATGCTCAGCTGAGGCCGGGGAAAGCCTATTAGGTGAGTTCCTTAGACACGCGTGGGGGGAGAGGGTGGGTGGCAAGGGGGTTGCGTGCTCCTCGCTTTGCTTTCTCAGCCTGAGGATCGCACAGTGCAGATGGAGCACTAGTCCAGAGCGCACAGCTGAAATGAGGCTGCCACATAGAAATCTTGCACTCCTGCTCACAGGGTTCCTGCACAGGCCTGCCTTACTCCCGACCCTGTGGTGGGACACCTTCCCACCACTAAGGAGGCTGGGGTTATAGATACACATAGCAGTACTGCACATGGCACAGCCTCATGTCCACACTCTCGGGGCAGCATCCGCTCCTGAGCAAGCATAGTGAGGTAGAGGACATCGAGCCTCTGCCAGGGGATCCTGCTGAGGGCAGGAAGAGGAGGGGACCCCAGTGCCACCGTCCAGGACAAGCAGTATCTGCCACTCACACACATCTCCCACACACCACTACTTCCCTCTCCTCCAGAAGGCAGGAATAGACGCCGGCTCCCTGTGGGATGCTGTCACTGCCAGACCCAGCATGTGTGTGGTTCAGAGGGAAGCAGAGCTGCCCTGTCACCCCCCTCACTCACAGGCTCCCGACCTGACCACCTTGTGCCTGCTTGTCCCCCGGGACATGAGGGTAGCAGGTTTCCCCTGGGATGTCCATGCCCCTGCAGGAAAGTGCCCACTGTCTAGGCCACAGATGGCCATGCTCGAAGCACATCGCCTTCATCTAAACCAAGATCTTTTGGTGTCAGCTCACTTGTTAGGGCAAGGCTTCAGGCACCCTGTCTCCTGGGATGACTGCCTGTGTGCCCTGCGGTGGTCTCTCAAGTGACGGGAGTAGAGGTTGGACGTGACCTGGAGGAGCACCATGCTGACAGGGAGCTGCGCCACACCATCAGGCAGGAGCTGTCCTAGGAGACCCAGAGCATGAGCACAGCACACTTTGCCACCTGGTGGCTGCCATTGAGCAATCCAGCAGCTGCCCACCTCCCTGCTCCTGATACCTTTCCTGCCCCTCTGGTTTCTCCCCCTAGTCATCCCTTCCTCCCCCACCCCACCCCCGGCCACCGAGGGCCCTGCACACAGGGTGGTGGGACCACCCAACGGAGGCCACCAGCCCCATCCCTGAGCCTCTCCTTTCCCCCTTCCACTTCCCTCTTTCCCCTTTCAACTCCCTCATTCCCCCTCCCCCCGGGTTCTTTCCCCGGATATATTTTACCCCTCCCCCCAAAAAAGAAACAGTTTATTCTTTCAAAACAGTCTGATTTATTGTATCTGTGGGGGTGGGGCGGAAGAGAGGGCAGAAGAGTAAAGGCACAGAGAGGCAATGCAGAGACCCATTGTGGGAGGCCCAGGGGAAAGCATCACAGGTGTCCTTGTCTGAAATTTTCCCTCAGGGACTCCCAGATGCACACAGCCCTGCTGGATGGTATTGGTACGCAGCTGCTTAACGGTCCTGGCCAACGGACCTGCCCCCCACCCTGGCAGGAACATCACCACCTATCAGACATTCCATTCACCAAGGTCCAGGCGGGATTAGGAGACATTGGAACCTCTACTTCAAATGACTGAAGGTGCCCTCCACCACTACGTGGGCCCTGCTGAGCCTGGTGTTGAGCTGTTACTTGGTGGGGTCCAGGTGTCCTGTGTAGGGCTTCATTAGCCAGGGAACCAAAGAGAAGGCTGCATCCTCCAGGTCCCTGACCCTGATGGTGTAGTCAGGGGAAAGTGCCGGTGTGCATCTTATGGAACTGGCTGGCGTTCCTGAAGACACAGGCATCGTGCGCCTTCCCCAACCACCCAATGTTAGTATCAGTGAAGCAGCCCCAGTGGTCCATGAGGGCCTGCAGCACCATGGAAAAGTACCCCTTCCAGTTGATGTAATTGGCAGCCCGGTGGTCAGGGTCCCAGATGGGGATATAGGTGCCATCAATGGCCCCCCACAGTTGGGGAAGCCCTGACAGGAAAGCCGGCCACAATGGGGTCGATGTCACCAGGATGATAACTCTGCGCAGCAGACTGGTGTTGATGGCTCTTACCACCTGTAGGAGGATACAAACATAGAATCACAAGGTTGCAAGAGCCCTCAGGAGGTCCCCAAGCCCAAACCCCTTCCCAGAGCAGGAGAAACCCTGACTTACCCAGTCCCCAGCAGGGCTTTGTGAAGGCGGGACTACACAACCTCCAGAGGGGGAGAGTCCACCCCTCCCTTCCCTAGGGAACCCCACTCCAGTGGTTTACCACCCTCCTGGGACAGTAGCACAAGGTCTCCAAACCTGCATAAGCATGGCCCCGGTGGTTGATATCCCCATGCCAAACTGGTTCCTGACCGAGTGGTAGCTGTCCGGCGTGGTGAATTTCCAAAGTGTGATGGTGACCTGGTTCTTGAGGGGGATGGTGAGTCTCATGAGTGTCCCATTGCCTGAGGGCAGAGGCGAGCCACTCGCACAGCTCCAGAAGGTGTCCTTTCACATGCAAAAGTTCTGGAGCCACTGCTGGTTGTCCCACTTCTCCATGACAATCCTGTCCATCAGTTGAAAAGACTTGAGACATGGCTGTAGAGGGGAGCCCCTTTAGGCATGAGCCTCAGGCAGCAGCTACAGGAAGTGACTTCTGTTTTGATGCCCTGCCCAAAGTGCTTCTGGGAGGCTTTAAGTGTGATTCAACCTTCAATCAATATGGACGTGCTATTTCAATATAGATCTTTGCTATTTTGATGGGCATTTGTAGTGTGGATGCACTATTTCTAAATAGTTTTCAGAGTTTTTATTCCAAAATAGCTTATTTCGAAATAAGTGTGTAGTGTAGACGTACCCGAAGAGAGGTTTGAATGTCAGATTAACTCCTGAAATTTAACATAATAAATCAGATGATGAATAAACACACTTTCTATATAGCCTTCTGTCAGTGTATGTATTATACTTTCAAATTACCACCTCTGAGTTTACTATGGAGACAAATACTTAGTCTGTAATAGAGATGTAGCTGTGTTAGTCTGGTCTAGCTGATACAAAAGACAGGACTATGCAGCACTTTAAAGACTAACAAGATGGTTTATTAGGTGATGAGTTTTCATGGGCCAGACTTACTTTCTCAGCTGAAATTGTGGAAGAAAATTGGCATGGGTCTGGCCCATGAAAGCTCATCACCTAATAAACCATCTTGTTAGTCTTTAAAGTGCTGCATAGTCCTGTCTTTTGTATCAGCTAGACCAGACTAACACGGCTACATCTCTATTACAGATTAAGTATTTGTCTCCATAGTAAACTGAGAGGTGGAATTTGAAAGTATAATTGGTATTTCTGAACTTCTTGCTATAGTTTTAGCCATTGTGCTACAATTTCTTGACTATCACTGACAGTACCGTGGGACTCTAAACTTGTTCCCATTCTACTTTAACCAAATAACAATGAGGGCAGAGGATATTATAACTCA